CTAAGTGTCACTAAATCCTACACACTGGTCCTTTCTATTGTTTTATCACCTTTATGCTCTATAACTTCTCCTAATTTTATGAGAAAACTTTTCTACACATATATTTCTTTATGGTCAGAAGAAAAGAAAAGAATACTTGAATGGAAAATGATTAATTTAACAATTTAAAAACTATTTTACACATACAGCAGTAGAGTCTGTATGAGGTGTTCACATTATGTTGTCAAGCCACTGGACGTACGTGTACGTAATGCAATCTGTGTTCCTTTGAGTGTGTTTGTGTGTCACTGTGTTATGCATGTATTTACCTGTATGGGATCTCATATGAGTGCGCAGGTGGCTGGGCTGACTGAAACTCTTCCCGCACTCATGACAGAAATACTGTCCCTGCCGCATGAGAGACCTCAGCATCCCTGATCACACACAGGAGAGAGACACACACAATTAAACAAAGTACTAAAGAGCAAATCAACAAAACTTCACACATTCTTCATGTTACAGTGGTCAAAACAAGGGGTACGGTATGAATCAAATATATGAGATCTAACTGCATTAAGATGGTTTTAGAACTTAAGTCAACAAATGTTATTTAAGGAAGGCCTAAAATGACATGGGCTGCATATGAAATCCCTCTCCATTATTTAGTGCACTAAATTTCTATCCCCCATTTCATTTGAGTTTCTGAATTCCTCAAACATGTCTTTCTTGCAACAACCATTTATATCTCTCTCTTTTGTTCTTTAAATAATGCCTCTCTCTGCAGGTGATTTAAAAACCTAAGCACTTTTTGGCATAGGTTTTCACATATGAAAACGTAATTTCATATTCGAAAAGACAATTCGCAATGTAAAATATAAATAACAAGGATTTATTTTTAAATTTATGTTCAAATACAAAGGTCAGTGTGTCCTAAAATCACATATGCTTTGAATTCCCATGTGAGATTTCACATGTGACTTTTTCTGAGAAGAGAGGTGGAACAGAGGTGGTGGACATCAGCATCAGTTTATTCCAAGGCAGATGACATTTTCGTGGAAATGTTTGCAGAGATTGAATGAAGACGTAAAGGTCAGTAATGGGCAGAAAGTGAGTGGGTGTACATAAGCGCAGAGCCTGGCTGGAGCGGTGGAGGTAGGTAGCGTCAGTAGTGGACTCGCGCAGGCATCATTAGTATGTCTAATGTGTCATTATGAGCGGCTAGCTCCAGGGGCTGGACTGCAGCTGTCACACAGCATCATCTCAGAGGCTGACAGCCAGACACACACAGCACACACACACTGCATAAATTACAGGCAATTAAAACGCCCCGGCTGTGATGTGCCCGCTCCGCTGCCCGTGTGTCACATGTCAGGTGTGTGTGTCTCTATGTGTATGTGTTTCAAGAGTTGTATATATATGTTTGTTCCAAGGGAGGAAAGGGAAGCATGGGCTGTGGCACACACTGGCTAGGTGTACACACACACACAAGGACACAACAACACTCCTATTACATGCATAAGACATGTTTATGGACTTAAAAGGCAGGAAGAAGAAACTTGTTGAATTTTGATGACTTCAAAACTAAATCACGTGACATGACACGACTAAATGAATTTCCTTAGTGGTGAAAATATTAAACTCATAATGACATCTTCAAATTTACTGGACCACACATCTTATACTTTTCAATACTACTGTATTATATGCAGGTAGCAAAATTAATTTGAAAACTTTCCAAAAGATCTTTTTAACTCTCAAATATGGTTATCAGTATCAGTCAAAAAATACATTTTAGTTGGGCTTTGGTTTTGGATTTTACTTTAAGGCCAATTTAAAAACAAAAAGAAATCCTGGCAAAGCCAGGGAATTCCTAACACACTTAATGAGATTTCTGAAACTATAATGAGGCAGTAAGAAAAATGCCACCAGGAAATTAATTGTTAAGGGACGTGATGGGACCGACTGTGTTTGGCAAAGCATGGAATGCATACTGAATGGTTCAAACAGTGGCCATTCAGCATAAAGAAACCTGTTGTTACACGATGAGGAAAACTGGAATGTCTGTATTTAAGACATCACATTTTTGTAATTAAGATAACTATTTCATAAGGGCCTATCAGCCATGTTATAAGCATGTTTTCTCCTCTGGTGTGCACGTAAATGTGGTCAAAGCAGCTGAAGCCAAAAGGACAGCAGCAAGAGGAAAAAGAATTTAAAGATGGTTGGATCCATTTGACGACACTGTGACCACTACACACAAACACACACACAC